CCAATTTTAGCTTAGATGTGTTGATGTTTGAGCTCATAAGTCAATTCTTTTAATTCCCTTTCAAGTCTCCCCAATTCTCAAGCTTAGAGTCAAATCTTCCTACTCCCTCTCTTACTCTCACGTTTTGCCACCAAGGATGAAGATATGAGAGTGTAAAATGTGAATGAGGGTCCATTAATGCTTTATATAGGCTAAATTAATGGTTTAATTAAATGGTTGATCAAATTACTCAATTAGACATAAATTATTCTAATTAAATCGTTCCGAATAAACTTTCAATTGAACCTTCCATAAAATTCTAAAAATTCTAACTAACACATAATTCAAGTCAATTTCACGATTAGAAGTCGATAAGGTCTTCAATTCACGGAACAGAACGACAAACAGATATTGCTACAATGGACTGATAAAAACACAAATAATGTCGTACACATATGCAAATAAATGCAGAATTTCATCTTAATTCTTCTTAGGAATAATTAATCATGGATTAAAAGCTAATCACAGGTCGGGGTTGTTGCAGTCTTCCCCCATCAAAGAGTTTGGTCCTCCAAACTTGGATTATCTTCATTTTGGAAGAATATCGGATCCAAAGGAAATAATTCAAGGTATCTCCTCATCATATCTTCCTCTGTTTCCCAAGTTGCATAGGTCCCTCCGTGGTTTTGCCAATCAACCTTCACCAATGGGATTTCTTTGTTCCTTAGTCTTTTGATTCGGCGATTAACAATCTATATTGGCCTCTCCTCATAGGTGTAATCATCTTTCAAAAGCACATGTGTTGGTTCAATGACATGTAACGGATCTCGTAGATAATCCCGAAGCATAGAGACATGGAAAGCATTATGCATATGTTCCATGACTGACGATAAGGCTATCCAATACGATACTGGGTTGATTTTCTCAAGGATTTCGTATGGACCAACATATCTCAGTGCCAATTTGCCTTTTACTCCAAACCGCATCTGGCCTTTCATTGGAGTTACTTTGATAAACACATGATCCCCGACTTCATATTCCCTATCTCTTATTCGGACATCCACATAACTCTTTCGGCAACTTTGTGCAGTTTTCAGTCTTTATTGAATCAATTTTACATTTTCGGTTATTTTTTGCACAAGTTCCGGTCCCAATAAAGGTCTGTCACCTACTTTAGCCCAACATATCTGTGAACAACACTTTCTACCATACAAAGCTTCATAGGGAGCCATCCTAATACTTGAATGATAGCTGTTGTTGTATATGAACTCAGCCAAAGGGAGGTAAGTCTCCTAATTCCCTTGAAAGTCCAACACACACATACGTAGCATATCTTCCAAAGTTTGATTGGTTCATTCTGTTTAGCCATCTGTTTGTGGGTGATAAACACTGCTTAACTTCAATTCAGTCTCCAAAGCCTGTTGTAAACTTTGCCAAAACCTTGATGTGAACTTTGAATCTCTATCAGATACAATGGATACTGGCACACCATGTAGCCTCACAATCTCATTCATATAAACATTGGCCAATTTGTCCGCATTGTAAATAGATTTAACAGGCAGAAAATGGGCAGACTTAGTTAAACGATCAACAATAACCCAAATAGTATCCATACCTCGGGAGGAGCGAGGCAGTCCAATAATAAAATCCATAGTAATATGCTCTCATTTTCATTCCGGTATTAAAAGCGGTTGACGCAATCCAGCAAGTCATTAATGTTTGGCTTTAACTTGTTGGCAATGCAAACATTTAGCCACAAAATCAGCAATACATTTCTTCATTCCTGGCCACCAGAAGTTCTGTTTCAAGTCATGATGCATCTTTGTATTTCCTGGGTGCATAGCAAATTTTGAATTGTGAGCTTCAGTCATGATGCATTTCCTCAAGTCAAAACAATCTGGCACACAAAGGCGATTTTGAAATTTCAACACATCATTGTCAAACACAAATCCCAGTCTCGGTTTTGAGTCAATCTCATCAACAATTTTCCTCAAAAACTCATCTTCACGTTGTTTCTCTTTAATTTCTTCAATGATTGCAGGTTGGGCAGAAATGGCAATCAAGATCCCGCTTTGTTCACGTAACACAATTTCAATTTCATTTTTATCCAAGTCACACAATAACTCTCTCCGACCGGTGAGCAAACATGACAAATTCTTAATAGATTTTCGGCTCAATGCACCTGTAATGGTATCTGCCTTCCCTGGATGATACAGAATTTGCAAATCATAGTCCTTGATCAATTCTAACCATCTCCTCTGTCTCATGTTTAGCTCTTTTTTGGGTGAAAAATTATTTTAAACTTTTATGATTTGTGTATACTTCACAAGTTACTCCATACAGATGATGGCGCCAAATTTGTAAAGCAAATAGCACAGCGGCTAATTCAAGGTCATGGGTTAGATAGTTTTTTTTTATGAGGGCGAAGTTGATGAGAAGCATAAGCAATCACTTTTCCATTTTGCATCAACATACACCTCAAACCTTTGTAGAAAGCATCACTGTAAATTTGAAACCTATCAGTACCATTAAGCAAAGTCAAAATTGGTGCAGTTACTAACCTGGTTTTTAGCTCTTGGAAAGTAGTCTCTCTTTGATCAGTCCAGTCGAATGGTGTAGCTTTCTGTGTCAATTGAGTGAGTGGCAAAACAAGTTTGGAAAAATCTTGGACAAATCTGTGATAATTGCCTGCAAGTCCTAGAAAACTTCAAAGTTCTATTATATTCGTCGGTCTAGACCAGTTCACAATAGCTTCAATTTTTTGTGAGTCAATGGAGATACCATCCTTGTTAATTACATACCCCAAAAATGCCACACTGTCAAGCCAAAATTTGCATTTGGAAAATTTTGCATATATCTTCTTTTCTCTCAGAATCTATAAAGCAATTTTTAGGTGATTTTCATGTTCTTCCTTGATTTTTGAATAAATCAATATATCATCGATGAACACAAGAATAAACTCATCAAGGAATTATTTGAACATTCTATTTATTAAGTCCATGAATGTTGTAGGTGCATTAGTTACCCCAAATGGCATGACTAAGAATTCATAGTGTCCGTATCTAGTTCGAAAAGCGATTTTCTCAATGTCTTCTGCTTTCACCTTTAGTTGATGATATCCAGATCTAAGGTCTATCTTAGAGAGCACTTGTGCTCCTTGAAGTTAATCAAACAGGTCATCTATTTAGGATAATGGGTACTTGTTCTTGATAGTTACTTTGTTCAGCTCACGGTAGTCAATACATAACCTCAAAGACCTGTCTTTCTTTTTGACAAATAACACCGGAGCACCCAAGGTGAAGTGCTCGGGCGGATAAACTTCTTGTTTAATAGCTCTTGGAGTTGAGTTTTTAATTCCTTCAGTTCAAAAGTGGACATTCTATATGAGGTTTTGAAAATTGGTTGTATCCCGAGTACTACATCAATGGTGATCTCAATTTTCCTATCAATTAATTCCCCAGGTAGGTCAATAGGAAACACATCAGGAAATTCACGGACTATAGGTATCGTTTCTACATTAGCACTATTCGAAGACTTGGTCAACACACAATACAAGTAGCCCCGATAACCTTTTCTTAACAATTTCCTGACTCTCATAAATGAAATCAAGTATGGCAGAGGAACTACCCCATTACCAGTAAAAACAAACTCAAGCATACTAGGTGGTCTGAACACAACAGATTTATTTGCACAATCAATGGTGGCGTAGTATTTAGTCAACCAATCCATACCCAGAATACAATCAAAATGATCAATGCTCAAGGGCAACAAATCAGCATACAATGTCATATTACCAATCATAATATCACATGCCAGATAGACATAAGCACATATCATAGAACCCCCAGATGGTGTAGACACAGATAACAGTTCATAGGTTCTAATGGTCTAGTAAATTTCTAAGAAAAAGCATGCGACACAAATGAATGGGTGGAGCCAAATCAATCAGTGCATAGGCATTCTGAGCACAGCTAGAGATTATACCTAACACTACTGACTAAGTATTCTATACATCCCCAGGTATTAATGCAAAAACTCGGCCTTGTCTCAAAGTTTCTCCTCTAGTATTGGCCTTCGCATTGGCTCTTGGTGCAGGAGTAGATCCGGATGAGCTTGTCGCAGGATGGGTAGTCATGTCAAGTCTCATCAGGCAATATCTAATCATATGGCCTGTCTTGCCGCATCGAAAACAAGCACCAGATGCACGGTAGCACATGCCCCTATGTTTCCTTCCACATTCTGGACAAACCAGCATAGACCCACTGCTTTGGCTTGAGCCACTTGACGATACAGTATTTTGCTTCTTCGGAAATGATCTGCCTTTCTTGAAATTGAATCTAGTCCTTTTACCTCTCCGTTCAGTTGTTGGAGTTGTAGCTTCTTTTTTGGCTACTAGTATGGCCTTTACCATCAATGACCTATCATGCACTTCCACATAAGTAGGCAATTTTAATACACCCACTCGATCATACATGTCCAGTTCTAAGCCCCCTTCAAATTTCTGAGCCTTCTTATAATCTGTATCGACCATATGAGGGGCAAATCTGGCCAACTCAGTAAACTTAGCCTCATACTCGGCTACGGACCATCTGCCTTGCTTCAATTCTAGGAATTCAAAAAAATTTCAGTCTCTAAAGCATTGAGGAAAGTACTTGTTATAGAAGATCTAATTGAATTGAGCCTAGGTCATATTCCCGTTACTATTTCGGGTCAATAACCACCATCGCCGAGCTTCATCTTTAAGAGTGTAGGTGGCCAATAAAACCTTCTGAGTCTCAGTACAGGGAAACACTTCAAACAACTTTTCCATTTCTAGTAACCATGTCTCCGCTTTCAACGATTCAATACCACCCAAGAAAGTTGGCGGTTTCATCTTCATGAATTTCTGCGTTAGGTTGATAATGTCATTATTATTCAATTCAACTTGAACCAGAGGGGGCAGAGGAGGCATCGATTGTTGTCTTTGTTGCTATGCTATTGCTTTAGTTAGAGCGGTAATCATTTGTTCCATTCGGCTCATGCGAGCCTCTGAGGATTCACTTGTATCATTTCTTCTTGCATTCTCCATTAGCTATAGGTAAACATAACAATAATAAACATAGGCAAGTAAACCCTTCCATAATGTTCAGAATATTCAGTTTTAGGTCATTTGTTTCATATATGTGAGGTTAAGTTGAATTCATGTTCAATTCCAGTTGTCACAGCAATCAACTCACACACTCACACATGCACATGAATGTCCCTACTTTTTTTCTAGGACATCATATATATAGCGATCCTGGTCTATCCTCTCTTTATTTATTGTATTCCTGACTCGGTTCCGTGGATGTGTTGTTGTCTCATTCTCATTTGAATCCTTTACTCCTTGTATTTGAGTCTTCGGTTGTGTTGGGCAGAATTGGAACAGGTTGGTTGTGCTTTGAAACCATAGGTTGATGCCTAGAATTTGGCCTTCACGCTCGAGTAGGGATTTTGACGCTCGAGCGTGCCCTTCGTTGTTGCTTCTCTACTCGAGTGGGCGTTTTCACGCTCAAGCGTGAATTTCCTTCTCCCAGTATTTTCTCTGCAGGTCTTCGGACGCTGGAGCGGGAGTTTTGACGCTCGAGTGTAAAACTTTATTTTTTGTTCCTCCGCTCGAGCGAGGAGTTTGACGCTCGAGCGGTGACCATGTCTGCAAAACTTCTGCAGGTGTGCAATCGACGCTCGAGCGGCACTTTTGATGCTCGAGCGTAAGTCTGTGTTTGATGCTCGAGCGGGTGTTTCCACGCTCGAGCGAGGCGACTTTTATATAACTTCGGGATTTCACTTTTTGGATCACTTTTTCAACACTCATTCTCTCTCTTACTTTTCCAAACTCAGATTTGAGAGCTTCTCCCTCTAAAACCTTACCTTCTCTCTAGGGATTGATCTAGTAGGAGTTATTTCCTCACCTTGGGCCTTTGTAAAAGTTGTGGGAATTGTTGAGGGCTACATTTGGATCTGAAAAGTTTGGAGTTTGGAGCATTTTCGATTTCTTCATCTTCTTTGTTTGAGCTCTAACTTCGAGGTAGGGATATCCCACTCCATCTTATGAGCTTTGTCTTTAAATTTTGACATTTTGATATGTTGGGGGTTGTTGGGTAATTTTTGAGAAGGTTTTGGGGTCTTTGTGTAATTTTCAAAAGATGGGGTTTCAAACATATAAACCTTTATGTATGTAATACATTGGAAGATGGACTTTGTGTTGGATTATTGATGGAAAATGGAACCTTATGGTTGGTATTGTAAATATGGGAAGAAGCCCTAATTGTTATGATAAATTAATTCGTATAATTAATTTAGGGAAATGAGAAATTGAATAGGAAATATTCAAATTGGAAAGGTACAGGATCAAAGAGTGTAGTTGGATTAACTTATCACTCACTTAGACAAAATGTTGATATTTTATCCATTTGGTGCATTTATTTTCTGTTTAGAAATAACTGCTCTGGGCTATCGGTGGAGGATAGTCTTGATTGTTACAGACAATGCATGATGATTAGGCAAACTAAAACTAATCAATTGGGTATGCTATTGAATACAGCGGTTGGTATAATACATCAAATTTTTGTATTGATTGATTGAACTTGTATATGATAATTGTTTACATACATTGTATTGTGTGGGAGGAGATGGGGGATGTACTCCACGGTTTATTGGAAGATGGGGGATGGACCTCTAAATCGGAATTTGTTTGAGATTGATACAGCACTAAAATGTGTATCATTTGTGAAGTATGGAAGTATTTGTTTGATTTGATATAGCACTAAAATGAATATCATTATCATTTGTGAAGTATGGAAGTGTTTGTTTGATTTGATATAGCACTAAAATGTATATCATTATTATTTGTGAAGTATGAAAGTGTTTGTTTGATTTGATATAGCACTAAAATGTATATCATTATCATTTGTGAAGTATGAAAATGTTTTTGTTAACTCTGATACAGCACCAAAAAGGGTATCCATTATGAATTTCGAAAGTATTTTAGTGATGAGTTATCATCTCATTAAATTATGTGGCCTGACTCTGAGCCTTGTTTTCAAACTTAAAGGTGGATAAGAAATGGAAAATAAATTGTATTATGGACATGATTGTCATAAAACTCTAATATGGTATGCGTTGGAATATAAGTGTGGACCATCTATCTAATGCTATTGTTTTAGTCATTGTTTATAGTTGGTTTAGTGTATTTCTACTGGGCTGTGGCTCACCCTATATGGGACTTCATTTTCAGGTACCGATGGTATGCCACCTCCAAGAACATAGCTTGGGAGGCTAGAGGCAAACAAACTATTTTGTTGTTTTGTTTTCTTTGGATGTATTTCATGTAAATTCAAGCCAAGGGCTTAATATGTATTTGAGTTAGTACTCTCTTTTTGTAACCAAGTGTTGACTTGGAAAGTTGTAAGCCTATAGGGTAGTTACCTTTGTTGTCAACGTGTAATGCATTTTATAAGGATACTCTAATGATTGTAATATAATATTTCTTTCATGTAACTTGACTGTATAATTATTTTGAGGGCGTTACAATATAGCTCATATGAACTCATGTGTGCGGTAAGACGTGTGCTCTGATACCACTCTGTCATGACCAAAACCCACTCCTATAGGTTTAGCATCATAACCGGCCAGTAATCCTTGGATTACAAAAGGCCTCTTGACAGAATAATATATAAATAGGGCTACAGAAGCAAATATAGAAAATATACAATGTCCATAGAGCTGTGTTAACGTATGTGAGACAAAAAACTTTAAAACAACCTATATATATATATATATATATATATATGACATTACAAATACGATAGTCTTACGTCACCCATTTACACAGATAAAGTCAAAAGGAAACTTAGCCCAAGGTACAGATAAACAGAACAAAACCAAATAAAGCCTTGACATGGACCTCTCAAAAGGAACCTCCTCGGGAGGAACGGCGATTGGCTGACAAAAGAGAATCTTAGGCCGTCAACTCTGGACTTGGTCACGTGCCTAATCACCTACATACATACATAATATAAATAGTGAGTGGGAGCCCAGTGAATAATAACAAAGTAAAGGGTTTAAATGAACGATCTCCCTAATAGATTCAAAAATCAAAATTCATATAAAAAACAGATATATGATCGTATTCTTTTTCAAACTTCATACGGAAATCAAAATTCATGCTTAATCATACATGGTACATCCATTAGCATTATCTTGCTTGTTAGTTCCATAAGGAACCTCCGGTACTGGGAACTTGTAATATACTTGAGCCATGATATTGTTACCCTCGAGCAAAGGCCATAAGACCATGGTATTATTACTCCCAAGAAAGGGCCTTGCTTAAAAAGGCACGGTATTGTTACCCTCAGGCAAGGGCCTTGTGCTAAGGATACAACGAATATATTTTAGAAATTTGGACAATCATTCATTCATACAAAACATCGCATTTAAGAAAACTAATCATTTCATAGCATCAGGAAATAATTGAAGTTAAACACAACTTTACAGAGTTATTACTCACAGATGGCTCCACTTGCAGAACAAACAAATTAGATAACTTGTGGCGCGTGACCTACACACACACAGCAGAAACACATAATGAAACACACACTTGGTTAATACTTAACTTATTTCGTTTCATTCTTAGTGTGTTTCTAAGTCTTAGCCTCTTATTGAGTCTTAAACATGGCCTAGGATGCAATGTGAATGCCAAAATGTACTTTGGGACTCTTAACCAAACTTGATGAAAACAGGGGTCACGCTTGAGCTCAATTTCCCTTGCTTGAGAAGACATGTAAACATGTGAGGAGCCTCTCGAGCGCAGATTCCCTTGCTCGAGCGGTCTACAAACTTTGAAAAAGTACTAGTTGTATAAAATCTCCGCTCCATGGTGTAGACACCCCATTTTTGACCGTCTTCAAGACTTGGACGTCACCGTTTGAACACTCGGTGATCATCCTTATTCATGTTCGTCTTGAGTTCCCGGAGGTCTTGGCTATGCGCCCTGCCTCAGGATCTCTTGACTCGAATGTTTTGTGTCTGTTTTTGCACCAAACACTTGTGTTTTGCTTTGGAGGGCAGGGAATGGCTTGTGAGACATCCCTACACTCCACCGGCCATGGCTTGAGGCCACCGGCTGTGTTTTGTTGTCACCAGCCAAATATTTGGCCGACCGACACTCTAGATGGTCGACCGGCCATCTATTTTGGTCAAATTGCATTTTTGGCTGGCCGATCACTGTTTATCTGCTTTTGCAGATATTTTTATGCCAGCTGTGCTACCTGGCATACACTCTGCTCCCCTCCATACACGTGTATGGAGGGATTTCCCTCTTGTCTAGCTTGCTTTGGAAGCTTGACAAGAGGGATTGTCTATAAAGAGGGGCCTCTTCTCCCTCTTTTAGGTTGGACAAGATTTTGATAGAGAGCTCTGGTTTTAGGGTTTGAGTTGTGTATCTATCCTATATCTATATCTCTCCCTCTCTCTTGAGCTTAGTGTGTGTGTTTAGCCTCATTATTGCACACAAACACCTAGTCTTACACCTTTTCTTGATTGCTGAGGGGCCAGAGGTCTTTTTTTGAAGTTTTTAGACTGGTTTGGAGCCAAAGAAGCAGCTGGAGTGCTGTTCTTGAAAGAGGTCTTCAAGGGTAAGGACTTTACCTTTAAATACCCCATTTTTGCATAGCTTTTTTAACTATCTTGCAACTGTTTTTAGGCTTTGCATATAACATATAAAAGTTCTGTTTTTGAGTCCTTTAAATAGTTGTTTAAGAGTGTTTTGAGCTTTGAGGTTGTTTGACCCCTCTTAAGGCTTGTTTGGCCTTTGTTTTGTGCTATTTTGGTGAGCTCTGAGACCATTGTGTTTGGGCCTCCTCACCACTGGAATCTTGAGGGATTTCAGTGAGGAGGATGGTGCCTTGAGGTCCTAGGAAGGAGAGGGCCATC